CATCTGATCCCCTTTTCTGTTCAGGAACTCAAGCCATGTGATCCTGTCCACCATTAAAATAATCTTTCCAATCAGCCTCCATGTTTCCAGTGTCTTTTCCCCCGCTTGAAATGGAAGACTTTCCTTCCAACAACACGAAGATATATCCGTACAGAGCAGTATTTTCTAACCTGAACACCTTAAGAAATGTGCGGACTTCCATTCCCAGAAATCCCCAGTCAACCTGCTGGCTGGGGAATTGTGGGAGTTGAAGTTCACACGTCTCCAAGGTGCTGAGGTAGAGAAATACTGATATTAAAAGACAAGCAAAAAAAAAAAAGGACACGGGTGTTTCGTTTTTTTCCTAAAGCCATCACTGTAGCCATTTGCCCATCCACTGCAGGACGAAGGTCTCTTCTGCATGTTTTCCAACCCATTACAATCCTAAACTTCCTTTTGACAATTGGGCCCACAGTATCTGATCTGAGCTTAGTGCGCAAGATAATCTGCCATAACATCCTACCTGTTAATGACTAATTTTACTTCAGCCGCAATAACATAAGGACTACATCGATAAAGATACAAACTAAATGTAATCCACTCTAATCTTGATTGCAGGAAAAACGATTTCAGCAAGAGAGTAGTAAATGTGTGGAGCACTCAGCCTGATCCTGTTGTTAGTTCCTCTAACCCCCCCCCCCACTTCCGTACCTTTTACCTTACACCTATGCGTTTCTTAAGGGGGCCTGCATAAGTGCACCAGCGTGCCTACTTTCCCTGTCCCACTGTCCCATGTATATCTCCTCTTTTTATGTGTTTATGGCTAAGTTTTGCTTATTTATACCCATTTATTTGTGCCGTTTTTTCATGTGTTTTTCCTACTTGTTTCCTTGTACTTGTTGACAATAAAATAAATAAGTGCAGGGAGTCCTCAATTTACAACCACAGTTGAGGCCAAAATTTTAGTTGCTAAAGTGAGACACTTTTAAAGTGAATTTTGCCCTATATTATGACCTTTCTTGCCACCGTTGTTAAGTGAATCATTGCAGTTGTTAAATTAGTGACACAGTTGTTAAGTGAACCTGGCTTCTTCCTTGACTTTCCTTGTCGGAAGGTCACCAAAGAGGAATCACGTGACCTTGGGACACAGTGATGGTCATAAGTATGAGTCGGTTGAATTTTGATCACCTGACCATGGGGATGTTGCAATGGTCATATGTGTGAAAAACAGTCATAAGTTTTTTTTTAGTGTGGTTGTAATGTTGAACAGCCACTAAATGAACTGTTGTAAGTTGAGGACTACCTATAAATCACCTCCCTTAGTATCAACAGCCAAATGCAGTGAGAGGTTGTTTGGGCTTACAGGTAGTTCTCACTTAATGACTGATTGCTTAGTGGATGTTTGAAGTTCTGACAGATCTCCCAAAGAGGTGCTTGCAACCTGGATTCAACGTTTCTTGCCACAGTTGTTAAGTGAATCTCTGCAGTTGTTAGTTTAATCTCACGGTTGTTCAGTGAATCTGGATTCCCGTCAGAAGGTCACAAAATAGGATAACATGATTCTGGGACACTGCAACCATCATAAGTATGAATCAGTTGCCAAGCGTCCAAGTTTTGACCAGATATGCTGCTACGGTTGTAAGTGTAAAAAATGGGCCCAAGTCGGGGTTTTTTTGTAATGTTGAATGGTGACTAAATTAATGGCTGTAAATTAAGGACTACCTACCCTGTTTCCCTGAAAATAAGACCTCCCTGGATAATAAGCCCAATCGGGGCTTTTGAGCTCATGCGCTAAAATAAACCTTCCCGGAAAATATTGCAACGCCTCCTGCACCCCAAAAATAATAAGACCTCGCTGAAAACAAGGCCAAGCGCTTATTTCGGGGGTCAAAAGAAAATAAGACCCTGTCTTATTTTGGGTGGGAACACTGTATATTCAGGAGGTGTGTTGGCCATAATTTAATGAGCTTGTTCAAGTTCAGAGTTTTTGCACAGGTTTTCCCTCTGGGTGGTCCATACTGGTATTTGTGCTTCCTTATTTCAAAGGAACTCAAAGCATTAATAAAAAAATGCCTGTAACTCAAAAACAGTTATCAGGCACTCTAATGTTTGAAGGACTGCCCCAAAGAGGAGGGAGTCCGGCTATTCTCCAAAGCACCTGAGGGCAGGACAGGAAGCGATGGGTGGAAACTAATCAAGGAGAGAAGCAACTAAGGAGGAATTTCCTGGCAGGGAGAACAATCAAGCAGTGGAAGAGCTTCCCTCCAGAAGTTGCGGGTTCCCCATCACTGCAGATGTTTAAGAAGAGACTGGACAACCATTTGTTCTAGGGTCTCTTGCTTGAATAGAAGGTTGGACTAGAAGACCTGCAAGGTCCCCTCCAATTCTGTTTTTCTGTTAAAGTGGGCCCCTCTTCTATTCCCATCAACAGCTGCGATGGTTGTGTAAGATGAAGTCCAAGTTAAATTTAAGTTTAACATCTAGGATGGAGAATCCTCTCTAGATAATTCATCTTTGCTTTTTCTTGTCCTAGACCTTGAAAGCTTCCTCCCCTTTCCCTTCTAGCACTGATGATGTTGCCTAGTTGGGTCATCAAACAACTGCAAAGAAAGCACCAAGCTCAGAGAGCACCTCCTCCTCTTCCTCCCCCTCCCTAATAACAAGGTTGGAAGGGACACTGGAGGTCTTCTAGTCCAACCCCCTGCTCAAGCAGGAGACCCTAAACCATTTCAGACAAATGTTTGTCCAATCTCTTCTTCTTTCTCCTCCTCCTCGGAAAAAAAAACAAGAAAGATGTTGGTTCCCCTTCCCCACCTGCTTTCTCTGATAGGGAATGTCCTTTTCTCCTTCCAGGAGGAGGCCCACAGCCACGGAATGTCTCCAGTCCTCGTGGCTCCAGGAGACCGGTTTGGATGAGCACCAACAAGCCACGGTGACTTTCTCCACCACCAAGCTGAGAAATTTTGTGGCCGAACGCGAGAGGAAAAGAGCGCTCCTCTGTTCAAAGTACGGAGTGATGGCTGTGTAGCCACCCAGGCCACTTTGGAAGAGAAGAGAGCCCCCCCCACCCCACCCCCAGCCATCACAGACGGATGCGTTTTATTTATTCCATACTCTCAACAACTTGGGATAATTAACAGATTGGAGAAAACGAAAGTCTGGCCGAAAGATTATCTGTTTCAAAAGCAAAGGTGGATGCAACACACAGAAGGAACTTATGAAATCTCTGGTTTATTTATTTATTTGGGGGAGGGGGAAGTATTTATGAAGAATCTGGTTTTTTTTTTAGAGGCTTTAGTGGCAAAAGCTGGAGGGGAAGAAGAGGCTACATTATCCATCGTTCCCCCTCAGTCCACGCACCTTACAAGCGTTTCACGCAAAAAAAGAAAGGAGAAAGAAGGAAAGAAAAAGGAAGATTTAGATTTAATTTCGGTTTTTGTTTTAATTTAATTAAAGGTAGTTCTATTAAACTAAATTTAGTTCAGTTAGTTAATTATTTATTAAAGAATTTATTTAATCCAAATGAAATTAATAAAACTAAATTAAGAAAACAGCTATACATTAAATTGGTTTTATTAATTTATTTTAGTTTTAATAATTATTCAATGTTAGCGTTAAATAATTAATTGAACAGTTTTCTTTCGTTCCCTTTATTCCTCCCCATCCCCCCTGTTGCGTTCGATAGGAGTAACTTTCAGAGGTTCATAAAAAGCTCGTTTTATTAGTAAGGAAAATCAGTCTGCCTTAGAAGACTTCAATACATACATAATAAAACTTTGCGATAAACATCAGATTTCATTAACAGTTGGATGAGTTTCAAAGGTCTTACAGCTCTGGCTTTTCACATGTGAATGCCCCAGGGTGAAAATAACACAACAATATTCAGAAGATAAATCGTCGTTACACCAAGAACACCCATAAGCTCAACCGAAATCATGACAGCTTTCTGCAAAAATCATCCCAGACACCACCCTCCTCCTGAGGTATAAAGAGGTGGCTTTTGTCAGCCAGCCAAACTGCATGCAGCCCTTTGGAGAAGCTACTGGCTGTTCTTTTCAAAGAATTACAGAATTCTTTCTTTTTAAAAAGGGAAATCATAGAAAAGCTTTCATAGTCTTATCAGAGAGCAAGTGTAGGGGCTTCTCCACACCCCCACCAGTGCGATGTTTGTTGCCGTCCAAAGAAATAAAAGAAAATTAATTGGTTATGGCTTCTTTTGCAATGAAGAGTGGGTTGTCTCTGGCCGTTTTTCTTTTACAAATAGCTGAACCAGTTTTTCTTCCTCCCATTGACTTTTTTTTAAAAGAGAAAAATAGCCCAGTAGGACAGAAAACATTAAATCGCTGGGTTGACTTTTGATTTTCCAATTATTTAAAAAACAGACTGGCTATTTATCTGCGCCAGTAAATAAATACTGTGATCGAAATAAACTTTTCTTGCAATTGTTCATTGTAGCTTTTGCCAGTGCTGGTAACTCTGGTGTTGCTTTGTTCATTTTAGTACAGAGAGTCCTCGACTTACGACCAAAATTTGAGACCAAATCTCCATTACTAAGTGAGACAATTGTTAGGCACATTTTGCCTCATTTTACAACAGTGTTTCTCAAGCTTGGTCACTTGAAGATGTCCGGACTTCAACTCCCAGAATTCCCCAGCCAGCATTCGCTGGCTGGGGAATTCTGGGAGTTGAAGTCCGGACACCTTCAAGTGGCCAAGGTTGAGAAACACTGTTTTACAACCTTTATTCTCACCATTGTTAAGTGAATCATTTCAGTGGTTAAATTAGGCACATGGTTGTTAAGTGAATCCAGCTTCCCCCATTGACTTCGCTTGTCGGAAGGTCGCAAAAGAGAATCACGTGTCAACGGGTCACTGCATCCGTCATAAATATGAATCAGTTGCGAAGCATCAGAATTTTGACCATGTGACCCTGGGGAGGCCTGCAACGGCCGTAACGTTCATAATTCACTTCTTTTCGGTGTAACTTCAAACACTCACTAAATGAACTGTTGTAAGTCGAGGACTACCTGTGTTGAGAATGCCAAAAGCAAAGTTAGTTCACGTCTTTTGAATCGTTCCCCCTGGTCTCCACTATGACTAAGCACTGACTTTAAAAAGATGATTTGCTTAAACAACTGCACAGGCTCAACTCATTTTTATTTTAAATAATCCACAGTTCACTGAGGTTTGAATTTTGAAAACAAAAGTGAAGGGTTTATTCTCCTGGATTATGTCTCTTGGGGGGGGACAGTAGTCACACAGATGTCACAGGAAGTGGGGGGGGAGTTAGCTCTAGGTCAGCAGGGGGGGTGGGCTTTCCCCATTCCTTCTTGGGGTGCACCAATTGCACCAAGGCCTGGTCAAATGTGACAAAGTAGGGAGGAAGTGACAGAGAAAAGAAAAGAGAGAAAGAGGAGGGAAGGAGGGAGGGAGGGGGAAAAGAATGGGAGAAAATGAAGGGAGGTAGAGAGGTAGAAAGAAAAAGAAAGGAGGAAAGAAAGAAAGGAGAGGATGAGAAAGAAGGAAGGAAAGGGAGAGGAAAGGGAGAAAGGGAATGTGACAAGAAGAGGAAAGGAGAGAGAAGGCAGGGAAGGGAAGGAAGGAAGGAAGGAAAAAGAAAAAGAAAGGTGACAAGAGAAGGAAAGGAGAGAAAAAGGAAGGAAAGGAAGAAAGAAAGAGACAAAGGGAATGTGACAAGAAGAGGAAAGGAGAGAGAAGGCAGGGAAGGAAAGGAAGGAAGAAGAATGAAAGAAGGAAGGACAGGAGAAAAAGAGAAAGACAGAAAGGTGAGAAGGAAAGGAGAGAAAAAAAGAAGGAAAGGAAGAAGGAGAACGTGAAAGTGACAAGAGGAAAAGAGTGCAGGGAAGGGAAGAGAAGTAAGAAAAGAAAGAAAGAAAGAAAGAAAGAAAGAAAGAAAGAAAGAAAGAAAGAAAGAAAGAAAGAAAAAGAAAGTAAGTCAACACCTTATTTTTAAAATCAGCATCTGGTTTCAAAGGCCTTTTGCGCCCTGTGGAAATCAAGGGCTTTCTTAATCACGTGCTTTTCATGCGAGAACCTGGAGCTGCTTTGTTAATTATTTTCCTTGAACCCAGAGTCACCTGTCAGGAAGCCTTTGCCACCGGTTTGATCCCAGGAGGGAGAAGAAAACTGGATCCCCCTTCAGGGAATCAGGAGAGAGCCTGAAGAGGGGAAACTCCATGCCCTCTTGCCGCTGCTGTAGCCTACTCCGTAGCATAATCAAAGCTTGCCTTGTGCCAAAAAAGGGAAAAAGTTATTTCACCACACACCCTCATCCCTTTACACCCAGGAGAACAGTCCAATTCACAGCAGGGGAGAAGCACCTAGAATCTGGCCTTGAAGAATTACACCACTGGGGGAGATAAAGTTATAACGCTCTAAATCCAAAATTGCTAGCTGCAACCACCTTAGTCACTCGGTTGCTAAGTGAACCTGACTTCCCCATGGACTTCGCTTGCCAGAAGGTTGCAAAACAGAACCTATCCCAGAATCCCAAGGTCTGAAGGGACCTCAAAGAACATTTAGTCTGACCTGCTTCTTGAAGTAAAGCAAAATGGAAAAATATATGGCATCAGGGTGAGAATATTTCGGGGTGAATCCATGTTGCATTTCCACTACAGAATTAAGATCACCTGGTGAGCATTTTGGTCTCAAAATTCACTCTACAGGTAGTCCCCGAATTATGACCACAATTCAGGACAGGAATTCCCTTTGCTAAGCACTTAATTTAATAACCATGTTACTAACTTGAAGTGAGTTGCACCCAATTGTACACTTTTTCTGCTACAGTTATAAAGCAAATCCCCGCGGTTGTTAAGAGAATCACATGGTCGTTAAGCAAATTGGGTTTTTTCCCATTGACTTTGCTGGTTGGGGAAGGTCACAATTATGAGACCTCAGGACTCAGGAGGCGGCAACTGTCGTAATACAGAACATGGCGGTTGACAAGCACCCAAATTTTAATCACGTGGCCTTGGTCAGCGATGAGTCTTGAGGCCCAGCCGTAAGTCACTTCCTGAAGTGCCGTTGTAACGAAATGAACGGTTGTAAGTCAAGGAGTGCCTGGAATGTATTTTATGGCTTGCATTCAATAGCAAAACAGCTTCTGCTTTTCAGCTGAAAAAAAATGCTCTTGTTTATTTACTTAAGAAAATTTATGCAGGTCCTTGAGTTACAACTGTTCATTTAGTGACCGTTATATTGGCACTGAAAAAAATGAGTTATGATAGTTTTTCACATGAAAAAGTCTGATTACAGAGAGAAAGGAAGGAAGAAAGGAAGAAAGAAAGGAAGGAAGGAAGAAAGAAAGACAAAGAGAAAGGAAGGAAGGAAAAAAGAAAGAGGGGAAGGAAGAAAGGAAGAAAGACAGAGAGAAAGGAAGGAAGGAAGACAGAGAGAAAGGAAGGAAGGAAGAAAAGAGAGAAAGAAAGACAAAGAGAAAGGAAGGAAGAAAGAAAGAAAGAAAGAGAGAAAGGAAGGAAGAAAGAAAAACAGAGAGAAAGGAAGGAAGGAAGGAAGAAAAGAAAGAAAGAAAGACACAAGGGAGGGAGGGAGGAAGAAAAGAAAGAAAGA